AGCCATTGTTGTTAGCCTGGTTCGAACCAGATGAAGTTGCCCAAGAATATGAGATTCCTCTAGCAGTTTGTTCAGGATTAGTAGTTTGTCCAAAGAAAAATGGAAGCTGGTTAAGGTGCATTGTGCTGCTGATTAGAGAAGACGAAGCATTAGCTATTGAGCTGCTGTCTAGATTAGGTGAACCACTGCTGAGCTGTTGAATCTATAAGTTGGATTGCAAAAAATAAAAAAAGATTTCATATCTTGCCAGAAGAACTAATCTTCTAATGAAGAAAAACATGCAAATGTTTTTATTCTAATTTTATGCGTTCTTTTTTGAAACGTTAAATATAATTAGAATAAGAAAAAAAAATTTCAGTAGTTGTGCTCAACACACAGTTGGAATGAGTTTCAAGAAGTCTAAAATTTCACATTATTAAGAGTCTCATATTTTGACATTTAAACACATATATGTATGTAGCGAAAAATTTCATTTGTATAGATTATGAAAAAAAAAAAAAAGATATAAAGAGTACTGGTTTTGAGTAAAAATACTTGAAAACATTAATTAAAACACTTACCTATGATCATAAAAGGGATGAGCCAGATAGTGTCTCCCTCTTATGACTCCTGGCTCTGAGGCACTCCAGAAAATCATTCGATTAGATGGCATATGATAATGGACTTGTCCTGTGCTGGTGATCCAATGGCTACTGAAAATGAAATTTTGAGGGACGCTAACAGTAGCAGAAGATTGAGGAATGGTGAAAGAATACTCTATGTATTGACATTGTTGACCCAATAAATGTGGGTTCCTAAAATGTTTTGAAAGAGAAGATATTAAAATTTTTAATTCCCCAAAGTTATAAGAATATTAATGTAACACTAATTAATGTAAATCTTACTCGAAAGAATCGTGTTGTCCTAAGCCTTGCAAAGGGCACAACTCCATTTTTATAGTTTACACAATACACAAAACATGATTGTTACATCAATGAATCTATAAATATGTTTTTTAAGCAATGAAAAAAATATTTTAAGGTCTTAAGATGACATTAATTGTGAGATAAACACTGTTTTTCTAAAATCACTCATCGAATAACATCATTTTAAACCGAAACAAATAGTACTATATTAATGTCGTCTTCTCCAGCAGTTGGGATTGGAGGGTTTGTTGGATCTCGCCATTGACCCGGTTCTATTTGCCTACAGTTTAGGCATTGCATCATTTTTTTTGCATTAAGAGCTAAACCAATACAATCTGTACACAAAGGAAACATGTGAACACAAGATTGTTAATTATCTCTATAAAATAACAATAGCGCATTATAATTATAAAAACCTAATTATGTACGTACTATTGAATAAATAGATAAGGCCCAAATTTCATATAAAGAATATATATATATATATATATATATATATATGCCCAGAATATCACATCATAGATCACAATCTTATACAAATAGTCAACATGAGCAAATCAATTTCTCAAATATAAAAACTCATTCTGTAAATAAAATAAATTATTTGTACAGAGATTAAGATAGAATTACCGAGATGAAACTTGTGGTCACATTTAAGCGTAACAAGTGTTCGATGATCATCACTAGTCTTGACCAGCGTCTCAAGACAAATTGAACATGAATCTGAGTTTTTGGGAGAATCACAATTGCCATCATCATTTGGTTTGGCGTTGAGGTCAAAAGAGAATTGTTTACATTCGTTCACTTCATTACTCTCTAAACTTGTAGCTATAATATTATTTTATCGCAATCACAACTCAAATCTCAGAACCCCAGTATTTTTTTTCTCTAAATCAAAATGAAAATAAAAAAGAACTCAAACAATCATCTAGACCTCTTTGAACAAGGGGAAAAATTGCTCTACCCCCTAAAAGATGTATGAAACTTCATAGCAGACAGGTTAAATTTATATAGATAGATGAATTTCTGTTAACACTAGGTGATACTCAAGATTTTAAAATTTCTTAACATATTAAGTTAATACTATAGTTTATTTGTTCCAAATTCTCTATAGTTTATTTGTTTTAAAGTAGAATATTTTTAATTAATTGTATTTTAGAAAGTTATGATTATTATTTATTTCATTTATTGTTTTTTTTAATTTATAATATCTAAAAGGCAAAAAAGTTAATACAATAGAAACTTATGACATAGTATACCTCAAATTAAATACATTCAAAAAGTATTTGCTCATTTCTATAGAAAAAGAAAATGTATGAGTTGTAAAAAACTCAGCAAAATAAGTTTACTTTTTTAGGTAATTGTATATATATATATATATATATATATAATATTTTAAGATAATACTATTGAAAAATTAAGGCACATATTTAAGCAAATAAAGAAATGTATAGGAATTGTTTCCTTTATATGTCTTGAATTTACGTAATATGTATATATAAACGTACAATAATTTATTATTTACTTATACATACATTTATGTTAACTATAGAAAAAAATTAGAAATATATCATTTAACTTTTTGTTAATCAATTAAGTATGATTTGACATATTAATATATAGATATATTGTGTATGTTAGATGTATGCATTGATGAGATAGAAACATATTCTATAATTTCTAAAGTTTTCATGAACTATTTGTATTTTTTTTTTTTTAAATATTTTATGATTATTAACATTCTTTAGAATTACAATTTATTAATTCTACATAACTACAAAAGGCAAAAACACTTAATATAATAGACACATAATAAAAACTTGTATTTCTTAGTTGGAATTTCACTAAAATAAGTTTAAAGTATTTTAGTTATATATTGTATATTAATGGATTTACCTTCTTATGAGTTTTAATGTAATAAAAATTAAAAAATAAGTGATATATTTATGAAAATTATAAAAGGTCTTCGATTTTTTTTCTAATATTAGAACTTGAAATTCACACATGTATACTTATATAGATCTTGTCCATTGTACATTGGTTGACATGGCTATATAAGTCATCTCTTATATATTAACTGATAATGAGTGATAAAAAAAGAACTTTGAAGTCATATGTTATTTACAATTGTATCAGGCTGACGTGTCATTACCAAGACAATTTTGAAAATATTATAAAATAAGTTCATTTTACTAGAGTAATTAAATTAATGGCACTCGTATTAATTTGGTTATAGAGTCCAATTATCTTACTAAACTGGCATAAAATTAATTGTTAATAAAAAAACCGACCTAGTGAAGTATGTTACAAGCCCAAGTCTTTCTTGTCACTTATTTTGCAAACCCTAGACACATTTAACATAATAAAAACTATAAATACATGTTTTTAGCTCTTTTCTTAAGTGTCTCTTGTCACGTCTTAGAACAGAGAACACTTTGTTAGGTTTTAGTTTTATTTTCTTGCTTTTGTAGAGAGCAATTCGCCAATGTTGTTTTTTAGTAAGAGAAGATTTTTTTCAATCTCTTTTCTTTTTACTTTTACTGCTTTCATTTTAACCAATAATGATATTAAGCTCGGATATATCTGAATAGTTCTTTTGTTGGGTATAAGGGGACATCGAATAGACTCTGATGGTCGAATAATATCTAGGTTTTTAAAGTAAAGATTTGATATAGAATAGTTCTTTCATTCACTTTTATTATTAATGCATGTATGCTTGATTGATCATCTTGCATCTGATCTTAGGTTTATTTAGAGTCACGAGAGTGTTGTAGCATATTGTCATATTTAGAATTGAATGAGCAAAATCGCTATAGAAGACAAAAGCTATCTGTAGAGTCACGTGAGCAGAGATGAATTCCATTCTAGAATTGCATTGTGTAACAACCCGACCCGTCGACCAGACCAACCGGACTGCCAACATCGATTCTAAACCGGTTTACTACACTAATTAGATTAAATAGGACAATTTCTGAAAAATACTCTTATTCAATTAAATAAACTTAAGTCTTGCAATTAAAATATTCATAACATATTCTTAAAAAATAAATTGAAGCAAAGGTCTAAGAAATCTCTTGAAAAGAAGTACTGAAAAACGAAGGAAAAATGAAGGAAAAACTCATCCCAGAAGCACACCACTTAGGATTCCTCTTCCTCGTAACTATGAAGATCATAATCTTCATACTCACCTGAAAAATACAGATTCGAGAAGGGTGAGTAATTTGGAAAAATTACTCAGTGAAAAATAAATTCACACTCCCATTACAATATCCATTTATTTCCAATATATCAAGCCTAAAACTAAACAAGCAACAAACAGGGCTCTACAAGCACACAAGCAAAGTAAACACACGGATTATCATGCTAACGAGGCATGACCAACTCTTTAGGTCACGAAGACATTCAACGTGGTTTGCCTCAACTACCAAACGATGTGATTCATCCTTAATTCCAGGCATGAACCCCAGCAAACAATAACCAAACCATTGCGTCGTTACACAGGTATATCACCTATCTCAAGCTAATTACAATCATTAGGCAATCAATCGATGATCAAACAATTATGCTGGTGATTCATCTAATGTTTTCTTTATCCATTTGAATCTTTCATGACCTTTCTTAAATGCATCAAATTAACTACCTGGATAGCTAGACTCAATACACCAAAAACAAACAAACATTGTCCTAAGAATCTGGAGTTACTCCTCACATTGGCTAATTTGCAGATCTGGATTAAGGAGACTGAGAATTAAATGAATCAAGCAGACACAAGAAGGCAGGAACTCACGACGGGATCTTCTCGGCTCAGCGGTGGCTTGTGGCGACTAAGGGTGGCTTGGCGACAACAACAGCTCAGGCAGAGGCAGCTCGGGCAATCTCTCTCTCTCTCTCTTTCTGCAGCTGGGGGCTGATTTGTAGAGAATGAGGCTCCTTCCCTAGGGTTTTCCCATTTATATAGGTAAAATCAGGGAATTGGGCCTCCTGCTGAGGTTTGGATGTGCTGGGATGTTACAATTCTTCCCCTGTTGAAAATAATTCGTCCCTGAATTCAAATTCGCTCCCTCCTCATCGGTTTTCATTCTGACCAAAAAGAGTTCAGGGTATCCTTTCGCAGAGCTCTTCTGGCTCCCACATTTCCTCGCGAATGTCATCCCTTTCCCATTTGACCTTCACCAACTTGGTCTTCTTACCATCAACCTTACTCTCTCTAAATTCCAAAATTTCAGACAGCTTACTCAGAACTGACAGATTTCCTTCCAGATCAGCTAGCGAGGCTGACAAAATAAACTCGGGTTCCCTTACTACTTTCCTGAGTAGCGAAATGTGGAACACATCATGAAGTTTAGACAACTCCTGAGGCAACTGGAGTCGATATGCTACTTCTCCAATCCTCTCGACTACAGGGTATGGACCCATATACCTCGGCTTAAGCTTCTTCAATTTTCGATGCCTATCATTTCCTCTAAAGGCTCTCAACTTCAGGTACACTTCATCTCCTATCTCAAAGGACAAATCCTTCCGGCGAACATCAGCATAACTCTTCTGACGGTCATGAGCCTCTTTCGGCCTTGCTTTAAGCAACTCAATTTGCTCAGCGGCATCCTTTACCAACTCAGGATTCATTTCATTTATTTCACCTACACTGGTCCAACAGAGAGGTGTACGACACAATCTTCCATAAAATGCTTCGTACGGGGCCATCTTAATGCTGGAATGATAGCTATTGCTGTAGGAAAATTCCGCCAATGGAAGATACTTCCCCCAATTTCCTTCCTAGTCCAGAACGCAGGATCTCAACAAATTTTCCAAAGTCTGAATCGTCCGTTCTGATTGGCCATTGGTCTAGGGATGATAAGCCGTACTCAGATGCACTTTCGTCCCTAGCGCTTTCTGAAATTCTTTCCAAAACGCAGCCGTAAACTTTGCATCTCGATCCGACACAATGCTGACAGGAACTCCATGCAGCCTTACAATCACATCCAAATACTTCTATGCCAAAATTTCTGCTCCATCAGTTTTCCGAATTAGCACAAAATGAGCCGACTTAGTCAGACGGTACACAATTACCTAATTTGCGTTTTTCTTATCCAATGTCATTGGTAAGCCCGTAACAAAGTCCATAGTTACCATGTCCGATTTCAATTCTGGTAGTGGTAAGCTCTGAAGTTATTTACTGGGAAACATACGCTCTGCCTTCACCTGCTTACAGGTTGCGCACTGAGAGATCCATTTCTCTATACCCTTGTCATTCCTCCCCAATAATAGTATCTCTTTAGGTCTCAATACATCTTTGTATTTACAGGATGAATAGAGAACTTCGAGTTATGAGCCTGACTCAACACCTCTCTCCTCAGCTCTTCACTGCTTGGAACACAAACTCGATTCTTATACATATAAGATCTATTGTCTGCCATGTGATATCCAACCACTTGCTTCTCGACCATTTCCTTTAGAGCATCATCATTCTTCTGCTCCTGACAAATTTTCTACAGAAGATCCGCATTTTCCAATGCTTCAAGACCAATGAAATTTCCATCCACTTCAATAACACACAACTGAAGACTTGCCAAAATTGTGATTAGATTCTCCATTTCCTTTTCCTTAGCAACATTTCCTCTGTGACGACTCAAAGCATCTGCCACATGATTAACTTTCCCTCGGTGATAGGCAATATCCAAATCATAAATCTGCTAACAACTCCATCCATTTTTGCTGCCTCAAATTCAAATCGCTCTGGGTGAAAATATGCTTCAAACTCTTCTGATCTGTGCATATTTGCACCTTCTCCCTGGACAGATAAGCATGCCAGATCTTTAAAGCAAACACCACTACTGCTAACTCCAAATCATGAATGGGATAGTTCAGTTCGTGCTTCCGAAACTGTCTCGAGGCATATGACATAACTTTCCCTTCCTGCATAAGCACACCACCTATACCCGTTTCCCAGGCATCGGTGTAGACCTCATATGGTATTCCTGCCATTGGGAGTACCAACACTGAAGTTTCAGTTAGGCGCTTCTTCAACTCCTTAAAATTCACATTTCTAATCTCTGTCCACTCAAACCTCTCATCCTTCCTGACCAAACTTGACAATGGCTTTGTCAACTTTGCAAATCCCGGAACAAATCTGCGGTAATATCCGGCTAGTCCCAAAAAGTTACGGACCTCAGTCATGTTTTTAGGAACAGGCTATTCTGTCACGGCAGCAATCTTTTTTGGATCCACTGCTACTCCTTCCTCTGAGATAACATGACCAAAAAAAATCCAATCTTCCTCTGCCAAAAGCTACATTTGCTCAACTTAGCAAAAAGCTGGTGCTTCCTTAGCTCTTGAAGCACTAACTGAAGATGCCAAGCATGCCCTCTCTCTGACCTCGAGTAGACCAAAATGTCATCGATGAAAACAATTACACACTTATCCAAGTATGCTCGGAAAAATTGGTACGAAAGTTATAACATGGGAAAACCACAGAAAACATGACTTATTTGAATAACCCGGTGACAATTGTTCATCAACTTCTAAAATGCAGCTGGCGCATTCGTCAATCAAAACGGCATCACCACAAACTCAAAATGTTCATATCGGGTTCAGAATGCCGTCTTCTTGACATCCTCCTCAGCCATCTGAATCTGATGGTAGCCTGATGCTAAATCAATCTTCGAAAACCACGATGCTCCTTGCAGTTGGTCCAACAACTCATCGATTGGATATCTATTTTTGATGGTCACCTTATTCAGTGATGCATGTCAACTGCGTGAGGGAACAAATTTTACCTTTAACAAAAACAAATGAAAGCCGCAAGTGCACAGCTAATCAGTTGTAGTATTTAGGGATCGAATCCACAGAGATTTGTGTGCGTGGTATTCTTCTACGATTTCTAACTTTATGTCTAGACAAGATTGGTTTTAGAGGTTGATTTTTTGTCACGGATTAAACTAAAACAAAAGAATGCAAATAAATCTATCCTAGAAAGGAAGTAGAAAAATCGAATGAAAGCAAATGAAACAAGCAAAATATCGAACTAGAGTAAATAAAGTGCAGATCTAAATAAACAAGTAAAAATCGATTGGTTTGTAAACTATGACTAAAAACGCTGAGCTTTCGGGAACTCTACAGGGATCTAGAGCTAGAGATGATAGATTGGGATTGACGGATATCAAAATATAGGGTTCTAGAGCTAGAGTACGGCGGTATGACTACGTCACTGTCGTGATCATAACCAACTGTTTCTCGCAACCCTGACCAGTAGGTTTCCACTCTGGCCCTGGAAGGGAGAGAACGCAAGAGCTGCACAAGACTCTTCAGTACTCATGATCTCGCCGCAGGTAGGTTTCCACTCCTACGGAAAAATCGCCTGTTTCATTTTAGGTTTGATACTTAATGAAAACTTTCGCAACACTAACTATCTAGATCAGATACTAGGTGATCAATCAAGCATACATGCAATAAGAATGAGAATAAACAGAGAACAAAGTTAAAATCCCAGATCTATAAACCTAGATTTCTAAATCGATTATGAGAGCCCCTTTCGGGAACCCTAAGCCCAACTCGCGATCTACTCAGACATAGCTGAGGTCGACATCATCATTGGTTTTAATAAAAGTAATCAAAAACAGTAAAGAAAAGAGATGAAAGAAAGCTTCTCTATTGAAGAACTCAGACTTGAACAATCTTTTACAAAAATCGCATAAAAACGGCTAAAGGAAAAGGGTTTCTGTAAAGTATGAAGGTGTTTCTCTAAAAACGACCTAAATGACAAGTATTTATAGTCTTCAATACTCCATGGTCTCTAGGGTTCCGGAATTGAGGCTGAGAAATGACTTTGGGCTTCAGAAATATGGGCTTTAATTCGGAGTTGGCCGACCGCGGTCGGGAATGACGTGACCGCGGGAAATAGGTGGCTGGCCGCGGTCACGTGACTTGCTGGCCGTCTTCGAGTGTCTCCGGGGCTAATGGAATATCTTGAGATCCAACCGTTGGAATATCTCCAAACCAAGTGCATTTGAAAGCTGGTTGACTCTTCTATAAGTTATCCAATTTTGAGGGTGATCAGACGGTGAGAATGTATTTTTCTCTCCATGAGAGTTCTGACGGTGTGCATTTATCCAAAAGAGTCTTTTTGTTCGAATTTATGCCTCTTTATCCCAAATTACCTGAAAGGTCTTTTAAAATCTGAAAACATAGAAATCCTTTGAAAACCTTTGAAAATGGAGTAAAAACACCTGTAAAGACATCAAAGTGATCCATAAAAATGGTCAAAATCCGGTGTTATCATTCAGCCATTGGTAATCGATACAGAGGCGAAAACTCCCATCCTTCTTCTTCACAAACAACACTGGTGCTCCACATGGTGAACTGCTTGGTCGGTTGAACTGCTTGGTCGGATGAAACCTTTGTCCATCAGGTCCTTCAACTGCTTCTTCAATTCAGCCATTTCTGCTGGTGGTAGCGGATAGGCAGACTTAAAAACAGGGGCTGTTCCTGGTTCTATGTCGATGGTGAAATCATCTCCTCTAGAGGGTGGCGGTCCAGTTGATGTGTGCTGTCGTGAGGGTATCAAGTTTTACCCTAAATGAAATCAATAGCCGCAAGTGCACATCTGATCGATTGTAGTACTTAGGGATCGAATCCACAGGGAATGAGGATCTTTCCTACAAAAGCCTTCGAAAGAAATATAAAGAAAGGAAGTCTAGACCCAGACGATTTTTGTAAGGGTTTTGGTGGTGTCTTTAAAACGTAAAAACTAATCTTAAGGAGGAAATACGGGAATTAAAATTACCTAATAACTAAATTTAATGAAATCGACTAAAATCAAGGAAAACGGCTAAACCTAATTGCTTAAATGAAAATCGATTAAGAGAATTAAAATGATGAACTAAAGGTTGAAATAAAATCGATGTGAATCTATAGAAATGAAGGCGCTGGGTTTCAGAGAACTTTTCTCTAGCGTATGAACGATTCAAAACATTGCTAAAGAGTAAATTTGATAAGATCTTAGCTAAAAAATTTCGAACTAAAGTCACGGACGTATGAATATGCCACTGTTGTGATCATAGACAACTATCTCTCTCAACCATGACCAGTAGGTTTCCACTCTGGCTCTGCAAGAGAAAAGATGCATTATGTTTAAGACTCGTCAGCATTCACAAATTGCCCATAGGTAGGTTTCCACTCCTATGAATGTTTTGCTCTCCCAAACTAAATCTGACACCGGATGAACACTTTCGTGTCACCAAGCATCTTGATCAGATTGTAGTTCATGACGCTACTCTCATACAGTAAAAGTAAATTCAGAAGAAAAAGTTCTAAAATTCGGCTTCAATAGCTCATGGAATCTTCATCGAACACATATATCCCCATCGAAAATTCCGTTGACCCAACAATAAAACTACTCAGACATGATGAACAAAATCAAAAACATAGTATTAAAAAGTAGAGCAATAATCGAAATTGAAAACGAAAGAACAAGGGTTCAAGAGACAAATCTCTCTTTCCCTAAAAGCTAAAACTTACAAAGTATTCTAAAAAAATAAGAGCATGAGGTCATACGAATTAGGGTTCCTAAAACATGTATTTACAGTGCTCAAGACATCTCTGGGCGTCACTTAAGGTTTCTCCAAATG